GTCATCTTTGGCTGCTGTGGTGGGTGGGTCGCTATGGAGGGCAGAGCTCCCTAACTCCCCACCCCCACTTCCCCACTGGTGGGTATCTGCTACGGGTTCCGGAACGGGTGGGGTGAAGGGGGTCGCTGAGGGACTGCACCTGTCCCCAGCTTGGGGAGGGGGGTGGGGAGCCCTGTCTGAGATGGAGTAGGCCTGGGAGATGTTGGACACTGTGGTTGTGAGAGGCCTGCGGGCTTTTGGGGGTGACACCCAGACACTGCTCCCAGACCAGTGCTGCTCTGGCTGCTTCTGCCTCTGCTTTTCCCGCGGGCTGTCAGGACAGCCCAGACGCTCTGGTCCCAGAGGGCACAGGGAAGCCCCTTACCTGTGTCTAGATTACTCCTTGCGGAAACTGGCTCCGGGCATGACCTGGAGGCAGGGGACTTCCCTGTGAGTCTCAGTTTCTTCATGTGCGAAATGGGAATAAATGCTGCGTAGTTGCAGGGGTTCAGGGAATGACGATTAAGTTTAAAAGTGTCACTAGGGCCCAGCCTGCATGGCTCTGGTTGAGCGTCGACAGTTCAATTTACAGTCAGGGCACGTGCCTGGGCTGCTGGCTTGATCCCCAGTGTGGGTTGTACAGAAGGCAGCTGACCAATGATTCTATCTCCTCATTGATGCTTCTATCTCTTTCTCCCTCTCCCTTCCTCTCTGAAAGTCAATAAAAACATATATTTAAAAAAGTGTCACTGAAGCCCTGGCTGATTTGCTCAGTGGTTAGAGCATCGGCTCATGGACTGAAGGGTCGTGGGTTCGATTCTTGTCAAAGGCACATACCTCAGTTGCGGGTCTGATCCCTGGCCCTGGTTGGGGTGCGTGTAGGAGGCAGCCAATCGATGTGTCTCTCTCACATTTTTCTCTCCCCGCCCACCCCCCCGCCTTCCACTCTGAAAAATCAATGGAAAAAATATCCTCTAAAAAAAGTGTCCCTGAAGTGCTTTACCAGGACATGGTGTTTGGTAGCCATTATAATTAATCGTAAGTAACAATCAGCATCACACAGTCTCTTCTTCCTGGGAGGCGGGGCGGTGCAGAGGAGGAGGGGCCACATTTGGGGGAAGAAGGGTGAAAGGAAATGGGGTCCCCCATTGAAGTGGAAGCCCCTCTTGGTGTCAGTGGGTGTGACCCCCTCAGGCCCCTCGAGTGGACGGTCTCTCTATCTGCCTGACCAAGCGCCTGCACCTCCCTAAAGCTCCTGACCCCTAAATGTCAACATGAAGCTCAGCAGCAGGCTTGGCTCCCCCGGCGGCAGGGGGCAGGTCTGCAGACCTCCCGGCCCCCTTCTGCTCCCCTGCCGTCTGGGGCCTGGGCAGATAGGGAAGTCAGTCTGTCTGTCTGTCTATAGCTGGTCTTCTCACCTGGCCCCCTGCCTTTCGTGCCCCCATCTCCTCAAGTGTTGTGAGCACCCTTAGGAGACCCCCCTCCCCGAGACCTCTTCCTTTCTCCATGCCTCACCTTTCCTGCTCAAAACATGCCTTGGCTGGCAGTGGTCTCTCCTGCCTCTTCTTGTCTCCCCCCACCCCGCCTTCTCCTCTCTGGCTTGATGTGACACCTGGGCTTGTCTTGCTTCGGTTCTGGCCAAGCTGCCAACTTCCCTTTGGCCTCAGGCCTCGCCTTTCCCTGCTCCCTAAAGGCAGACGGGCCACGTCCCTTTGGGGTTCTAACCCAGGAGGTTTTCAGGAGCCAGCCTCAGGCTTGGGCTGGGGAAGATGAAGAAGGCGAGCATTTGCAGTGACCCGAGTTACTGCTTCCCATTCTGATTGCTCAGGGTTGTGTTTCTAGGGTTCGCTTTCCCGGGGCAAGGGGTGCGAGGGTGCCCATGGCTGAGGCTGTGGTGGCCTGTGGGCGTGGCCTATGGTCAGTTGTGGGAAGAGGGGCTGGTGGCCAGAGCAGACAAATCCCAGCATTGGTGCCTGGTGGCCATCCCCGTCCGGCGTCAGGGTGCGCCCAGTAATGGCCACAGGACCTTGAGGCCTGGGGGACAACAGGCAGAGGCCTGCTCTGCCTGCCCCTGCCCCAGTCGCCACCCCCGCGCCCCGCCCGCTGTGTAACTTCTGCCAGTCAGGTGAGTGGGACCCAACCAGTTTGTTACTAATAATAGCAACTAAGACACTGAACTTTGGGGTGACTTTGTTTTGCACTGGAGCAGTTCCAGGTGTAATAACTTCATCCTCACTCGCTTACCCACTTCCTTGAGCAGGAGGGAGGAGTGAGGCCATGCTCCCACCCACCCTTCCTCACGGACAGTGGCGTTCTCCGTTGCTGCTCTGACAAATCAACACAGACTGAGTGGTTCTGAAACAACGCACGCGCATCCTCTTACAGTCCTGGGGGTCAGAAGTCCGAAATGGGTCTTACGGGGCTAAAATCAAGGTGTCGCAGGCTGTTCCTCCTGGAGGCTCCGGGGAGAGCTGCTCCTCGCCTCTCCCTGCTTCTGGTGGCTGCTGGCAGCCCCGCGACCTCATCCCCCCACTCCTCTACTTCCCTCTTGTGGAGTCAAATCTCCCTGTGCCCCCTTCTGATAAGAACACTTGTGACTACCTTGAGGGCCCACCTGGATAATCCAGGTTTAGCTGCCCATCTCAGAATCCTTAATGACATCTGCAAGGCCCCTTTGGCCATATAAGGTAACATTCACTGTTCCGGGATTAGGATGTTTATAACTTTGGGGGCCCTTATTATACCTACCTACCACAGGATCCAACCGCAGTGTCATTGCAGGCTCCTTCCCCAGGACCCGCAGCTGCTGGCTTCTTCCCCATGGGGTCACTCTCCGTGTCTGTCTCCCCCCAGCCTGGGAGCTACTGTGGGCAGGTCCTGGGCCTGCTGCACCTCCGGCCCCAGAGCCCAGCCTGAGACTGTGGTAGCCAGAGCTCAGGGATATTCGGATGAGAGGAATGTCTCCATGGGCGGCCCCAGTGACCAGACCCAGCCTCGCATTTGACAGTTAGGCCTTTAATGAGCACAGCTCATTTCATCCATTCATTCTATAAGCCCAGTGCTGGGCAGGGAAGATCACCCTGTGAGGCTTGGCTGGCCGGCCGGCCGGGAGCCCCTTTTTGTAGATCGGAGGCTGATGGAAGCTAAGTTCTGCCCAGGCAGAGGTGTGTGAGGGAGCAAGGCGGGGGGACAGGCTGGGCAAGTCGAGGGAAGACCTTCATTTTACAGATGAGAAGTCTGAGGCACACGGTTACGGTTCTGCCTCACCAGGTGCCTGTGTCCCCCTCTGGGGGTGAGGATGTGGGTGGGCCATTCTGAAGCTCTGAGCTGCCTGGGCTCGGGGAGAGGCGGCATTGGCATGAAGGCCACCCCGGGCAGGAGGAGGACGTCGCCGAGCAGGGCCAGCGCCTGGAAGCTCGGCCAGCACACCCTAGTACGGAGACGTGG